AAGAGCCCGTGTACTTTCACCACAACCAAAGTGTAAGTGATGTAACTCATATATTTAGATCTTTCTGGCCCGGTTTCTGATCAATAGGTGTAATGCTGTCTCCTGGGTTTTTGGTACAGTATTTCAGTGAGACTAGACAGCATTTATACTGAGGAATGGTGTTTTCTTTAGAAGGCAGATAATGTTCAGGTTTGTATAAATTTTACTCAGAGGTTTAGTTGAAAAAAACCAGAAAATATGTTTGGAAGTATGATTTCAGCATCTAGATATTTTATTTGAAGGAGATTATGTTCTAGAACTTACTGAGAAATTTTGAAGATACAAACACAGCTGAGATTTCTATCAGAGGAGATGCATTTTGCTTCAGAACACTTTCTTAATTATTTGTTTTATATGTGATTTAGGATTACGTTTGTGCGGTTGAAGCACCATTTCTGACTCAGGAGTTACGAAGCTGCAAATTGTTGGTCACTGAAAGGTGTGCTATAGGGAAGTACAAGTAATGCTTACGTTATTCTTTTTTATGTTTTCCTAGGCATCTGCTTCTTTAGGTGTAATATATATTAGAGACTGAATGTTGGGCAAGGTGGAATTGGTCTGGCTCGGTATGATTAGTGTTGTGAGTACAGAAGTATAAAGGGAGAAGCCTAGTGATGCCAACGCTCTGTGCCTTGCAAAGTGGCTGAAAAATGTAATATATTGGTTTTGTGTGTCTTGCTTTTGTTTTAGGAATTAAATAAATTGTTGAAGTTATTTAGAAAGGTATTCTTATATTGTGCAGAATCGTTGCTGTTGTTGTCCAAAGAAGCCATAGTTCTAAGTATTCTTTTCCTCTGAAATGATGGTGCTTAACACTTTGTGTGTCTGTCTTTGTGGAGTTAATTATAAGAAAATAATTTTAAATAACTCCTAGAAAAACAAAGGTGAAAGTTGAAGACCTATAATGAAACAAAAAAAGGAAAACAAGCAGTCATAAAATTTAAAAGCTATGAATTGCAATCTGAGGCGACATAAGATTTTATAGTCTTGCACTGGTTAAAGTTAGTACATTAATTTGTAGGCCTTGCTTATGCTAGGAAAACAATGCCTTGAATTTGAGTGATACAGCTTTATGGGAGAGAGCTGTTTCAGGAAACTATGTCCAAAGTTCCATCATGTATACATCTGTGTCAAGTAGTCCTGTTTTCCTTTGTGTTTGACATAGCATTAACTGATTAACACTGATTTCATGAAGGAGCCAGCGCTGTCTTTAGAAGTTGTTTTAGTAAAGTCTGAAATGTTATCTGATCCTGGCTTGGCATTCACTAAATTGAATAAGATTTTGTAGCAATGATGAGGTGGAGGGATAGCAATTAATATTGCTATGGCAGAATTATTTTTGATCAGGGATGGAAAATGAACATTTCTAGTTTAAGTTATCTTCTACCTCCTGTGGTAACCTACCCTAAGACTTTAAATACAAATCTGTTTTTCCCTCCCTATCAGAGTCCATTTTGGTACTAAGATAGAGTCTGACAGTGACATCTCAGCTGTACCTGAAGGCTGGCAGGATGCCAGCTGTTAGTCAGGGTAAGCAAATACTGAATGCACATGAAGTTTTTTTTGGCTGTGAATGTGTGCCTCACGTTAGAAGAGAGAGCATTCATGGATTTTAAGTGATGATAATGTAAGTAATTTAACTTCAGTAGCCTTAAGTCATAATTTTGTCTACAAAACACTGATGCAACATAGGAATTTTGTCAAAGCATCTTTGTTGCTCCCAGAGTGGTGAAAAGTGACAGTCACTCACTAATCCTCTGACAGAGATAGTGGCCTTTTTTGTGGACAGTCAATGTCAGATAGTGTACTGCTAACATTCACAGTATGCCATTAACTTTTAACTGCCCTTGTCTGAGACAGAATTTAACTAAAACTCTAGAGGCAATTTTTTTTTCTCATGTCTTACGATTAATTTTATTATCCACGGGAATTAATGGATGCTTGTTACTACAGAGGAGAGAAAGTACACAAAGAAACTGCGTTTCAGACTGAAATTTAGTAAGAAACTATCTAGTGTTTGTTGGTGGAGGAAATATCCTGACTAACAAGGGGGAAGGTGTTGCAAGCAAATGGCGTTTTTTATACAGGACTAAGTTCAACTTCCAAGAAGGAATGTAGCCATGATACAAAACTTGTAATTGTGATTGTGGATAAATTTGCAAAATATTCTTACTGAGAATTAAAATGAAGGTTGTAGTCGTTGTGGTTGATATGGATCAGGGATTTCATCAAGCACCATCTTATTTTTAGTTTCAGCCAAACTATTTAAATTAGCATAAAAGACAGTTTGTTGTTATTTTTAAACCTTAAGCATGCATTGTTTTACTATGTAAAAGACATAACCGATTGCCATGCCATTTCTCTCTTGATGGCATTGTGAGGAAAGAAGGACCAATTGTTGCCAAAAGTACAGACAACTGTCTGTTATGTAGAATAATGGAAAAGGTCAAAGTTTCAGTTCCATTGGATTTCTCAGCTCTGACTGCTGAAGGATGTGCTAACTGAAGTACGGCATTAAGTGTGAGTGAACAGCGTGGGTTTGCGAGGCTGCATGTGAGCTCTGAGCCTGGTGGGAACTTACGGCTGTGGAGAGCACCACGCAGACACACTCTGACTGGAGCTGGTCTGGCTCCAGCAGAACTGGCAATGAACTGAAACAGCTGAGTCCTGGAACTAAACCGCCTCCATGCGGTCTGCTTTGCGCATCTCTAGACTGTGCTTATCAGCTGTTTTTAGTTTTGGGAATGTTGTATAAGCACACCTTCAGCTCAGGTACAGCTCCACTTAGGCTCCATGTTTCAAAAAAGCAGTTACGATGCCTCAGACTTGAGGCTGGCTTTGCTCATGGACTATGATTACAGAAGACTGTCTTGGCCTGTGATGGCTCTATACAAGGCATTCAGTTCAGGTGTCTTATCACGGGTGGCACAAATATTCTGCCTACAGATGACTGAGAGCTGGCTATATTAAAATGATAAATAACAAGCAGGAAAAGTATAATGCATGGTTCTGCTATGGGTTTTTTCTTGCCTTTTTTTTTCCCTTGTCTCATTTGCTTATATTTATAAGGTATCCCCAACTAGAGAACCTAAATTCTGGAGTAATGAAACAATGTTAATTGATATAAGCAGGGTACAGTCTCATTGCTCTGTTCTCATGTTTTGGCGTTTTTAGTTGGCATGCTGAGTGGATTCTGCCATTATGGTGTTCCTCTCAATTTTTGCTTCACAGTTGACATGTTTCCTTTATGAACAAGGTTTAAAAATCAAGAGTTTCTCTGATTGTTAGCTCTACTAGTCTTAAGCATGATTTGGAACAATAGTAGACTGAAAGAAAAATAAAGTGATTGGTTGATCACCTGGTACATCTTAGTGCTAGATATTAGCATGGTGTCTGCCCAGAATTTTTCATATTTTTATTGATTATGACCATTTTTTGTAATCAAATAAGTTTTCTGATTCAGTTTAGAGAGAAGAGGCAGTGCTCTTTTACTTTATCTGAGAGAACATACAGAATTGTAACTAACTTCCATTTAGGATTTCCCTATACTGCTTTGCTGTTTTCCTTGCATCAGGCTGTACAACTGATGTGTTATCATTTTAGTTGTATATGGCATTTTTAATTTTTTCTCAGAAATACTGTGAGAGCACATAACCATAGAGCTTTGCTTTTCTGCATTTTTGTTCTGAATTAAGAAACTAATTAACGGTAACCTGACTTCAATTTGTAGGGCAGAGAAACTCATTCATAAAGACAAGCCATCAACTTCGGGGTGAATAATTCCTAGTAACTTTTGAAGATTAAATGTTTTGCTTTGCCTTTCTCTTCTCTGCAGTCTTGCAAGTGCTAACACAGATAATGAATCTTTCCTGGCAGATAAGTTTTTATAGGAAATCTTTGCTTCCTTCCATAAAACTCAGTAGTCTGAGACATTCCCTGAGGGATGGTACTCATTGAAGAGGCATATTTTGTGTTTTGTAGATTAAGAGGTGAATGTTAGATGAAGCTGGGAAGCTGGGATAGGAAACAAAGTTTGTATACTATTCTGTGCCCATTCTCCTTCTGTTTGGTGAATAAACTGCTTGTGCGTTCCCTTGTGCTCTCCAGCCCTGATTTCATCTATCAGTGTTTAGATAATCTTCCACGCAGCTGCAGTGGAAGGCTCAGTTTCCTTTAACACTTTTATTTATTGTTATCCTCTGTGTACCTAAGCTTTTCTGGGCGAGAAATAGGGAGGCAATCTCTATTTTTTTTCTGAAGTAGAATCTATTTCTTCTCCACCTACCCTCTCTATTTCTTCACTCTTCAGCAGGGATTCTTCTTGTCCTATTCAAAAGCTTTGGAAGAAAGAGTCCCAATGGCTTCTGTGAGATTAGCTTTGGTTTAGCAGTCTCTGTAGCTGAAAAGAGACTGTGGAATATATCATCCAAAGCAGAGATGAGAATGGGGATATAAAAGTTTAGTGATTATTAATGAATTGTTGTATCCTCCTTGTTGAGTTGTAATACATAGAAAGGAAATGCAAGACACAGCAGTTTAGTGTCTGAGGAAGTGGTAAATGCAGTTGTAAATGACTCTGCAAACAGCGAACTAATGCTCTGGGTATTCATATCCTATTAAACTTTATAGTTCCAAGTGGAAAAAAAAAATCTGTTGGTAGCTATACTACTTTTGTCATATTCTGGGTATATCTTTATTACGTGGGAAAACAACCCCAAAATAAATATTTGCTTATGAGTTTAAATTCATGGCACAAGTGAACATTTGAAAATTAAAAAGAATTAGGTATAACAGTTTTAATATATGAATTTATTAATGGAGGGATTTGTCATGCATTTAGCAATACATAAAGAGGTAATATTGCAACATCTTTGTTGACAATTTTGTTAAATTCTTTTATCTTTTTTTTTTTTTTTCAAAATTTGTATTTTGATTTACTTATACTTTATTCATCAGAGAAAGCAACCAGTGAGATGAACACTGCAGAGGACTGGGGCCTCATCTTAGACATCTGTGATAAAGTTGGACAGTCACGCACAGGGTAAGTGACTTCAAAAATTTCCTCCCCAAACTTTTTAAATTGTGTTATTTCAGTTTCATACTCAGATGAAAGGAATGAAATTTTTGTTATCTTGTATAGACTTTTGCAACAGCTCAATTTAACTTAAATTTATTACAAGTAAAAAGAAAATATATGGATTTTCTGCTCAAATATTTTGCAAATCTTCCTTTGGAGATACTAACTGATATCTTAAAATTAGGACTTGCATACAGTAGCTTTTTACCAACGTAACAGAATAAATAAACTGATATGTTTTATCAGTGTCACTGTAAACCCAGGAGACTTCATAAGGGATTTTTCTTACAGAATCATAATCTAGGTTGGATGCGACCTCCAGAGGTCATCTAGTCCAACCCCCCAGCTCGAAACACGTCTAATTAGATCAGGTTGCTCAGGACTGTGTCGAGTCTTGAATGCCTCCAAGGTCAGAGTTTCCACAACCTCTATGGGCAACATGTTTCAGTATTTTAGTATTTAACTACCCTCACAGTAAGTAAATAAATAAATAAATAATCCTGCAATCTGGTTACAATTACCCCTGTTCCAACTTGCCTGTTGCATCTTGTCCTATGACTGTGCAGCTCTAAGAAAGAATCTGGCTGCGTCTTCTATGTATTCTCTGATTAGTTAGTTGTAGAAAGCAGTAAGATCCCCTTCTAGTCCTCTCTTCTCAAAACTGAAAGCAGTCCTCCATCTCTTCTTGTATGTGACTCTCCTTTGACCATCCTGGCAGCCCTCCATTGGACTTAATGTAGTGCATCAATATCCTTCTTGCACCAAACTGGGCAAAGTACTCCAGATGCAATCTTACAAGCGCAGAATGGAGGGGAAGGATCACTTCCCTGGCCCTGTTGACTGCGCTGACCACTTGTTTGACCCAGGATGCGGTTGGTTGTCTTTGCTGTCAGGCTGCACTGCTGACATCTGCCACCCAATAGGACCTGCAGATCCTTTCCTGCAGAGCTGCTTTTTAGGTGGTCAGCTCCTGGCCTTTGCTGGTGCAGACCATTGGAAATGCAACACCTTGCCCTTGCTCTTGTTGAACTTGATGAAGTTCCAGCCTGTCCAGGTCCCTCTGAATAGTAGACCTGCCCTCCAGTATATTGATTGCTCCCCCCCAATTTGCTGTTGTCAGCAAAGTTGCTGAGAGTGCACTGCCTCCCATCATTTAGGTTATTAGTGAAGACATTTAGCAGTGTTGGTCACAGTAGAGATCCCTGAGGGACCCCACTAGTTACTGCCCGCTAGCTGGAATTTGCACCACTGGTGACAACTCTCTGAGCTTAGGAGGCCAGCCAGTTTTCCATCCACCTTATCATCCTTTTATCCGGCCCACGTTTCACCAGTTGGGTGATAAGGAGACTGTATGAGCTTCAACTGTTTGTCGAAACTTTGCTAAAACCAAGGTATAAAGCATCTGCTGTGCTTCCCTTGTTCTCACCACCAGACCACCAGTGTCTTTGTCACAGAAAACAATGAGATTCTGTGTTTCTTCCCCTTGTTTTGAGAAGCTATTCTCTGACATCAGAGCTTTGATAAATATACCTTTTGAAAATGTGATATGAAATTAAACACATCTTAATATGGGCTGCTAATGCTTCCATTATTGAGTCTTTACTGAGCTCTCTCATAGGCTTTATGCATGCACTTGTTTTTTGGACATGAAAAGTTAAAGTATAATTTGAGGTAGCAAATAAAAAATACAGTTTAAAGACATTATTTCAGTGTATCCGTAGTGTTTTTATTCAGTGTAGTATTAGGCTTTGGAAATGTTTTAAATACATCTTCTCCAAGCATTCCCTGTAACAATTCAGGTAAGGAATAGCCTCAAAAAGAGAGTTATGCCACTGCTGCTGTTTACTGAAAGGCTTCTCTGAGAATGGTATGGATTGCCTTGTAAGACTGAGGGAAACAGCATGAGATGCCAGACTGCAAATTCCCACCTGGGACTTTTGTTTCAAAGGACAGGTTTGCAAATAAGCTTACTTCTTGGGATTAGAGATGGTCTCTAGAGGAGTACTTATAAATAGCATGGCATATTGAGACTTCTATGCTGTTGTGTATAACTGTAGTTAAGATAACAGCTGGCAAGTTGTTAATAATGTTTCATATTAGTCTGTACATGTAAAACTGCTTTCTGCTCCTTGTGCATGTTGATGCTGAGCCTGTAACAATAACTATATTATTGAAGGCTTCAGTATTCTATCTAATCACTGAAAGCATTTCCACAGGCAAGATTTAGTCTCACAGCAACTTAGCCTGAACAGTGCTCAAATGTATGTAGCTGCAAGTGACAGCTGCTTGGGAGTACAGACAAAGCTAGAGATCTTTTGGTAACGTGCAGCTAAATTTCTCTGGGACAGCTGGAATTTCTGTTACGATTTGTGGGTTTTGTTTGTTTGGTTTTGGGGTTTTTTTGTGTTTGTGTTTTGTTTTTGTTTGTTTGTTTGTTTTAATAAAACAGTGGTTTTATCCTGGCTGTGACTTTAATCTTTGTAATATTTACCCTGCTTGTAATAGGCTGCCAGCTGACTCGTTGCTTAAATTCAGATTCTGTTGAAACTTGCTGATAGTGGGTTTTCTTTGTTTTGATGGATTATGTCATGCCATAGGAAGGTAAAGCAAGACAAAGTTCTCCATTAAGAAGTTTAAATCAGATACGCTATGCTGTTTGAAATTCTCCTGTAATTTAAGTTCCTGTGGCAAGGATGCTAGTCGTCTTAACTGGGATCTGCTTTAATATTTTAACCAATTCTGGTCCAATACAAGCTTAGTTACTGTTCTTGGCAGAAGTTTAGATTATAAAATCTCTGTTTTATGGGTTTTCTTTGTACCAGTCTGTAAGCTCCATTGCATGCCTGCAGCATTTTAGATTGTCTTACACGTGAAGCCATAGCAGACTAGAAGGACTATTCTTCATTAAGTGCCACTTTTTGTCCCACAGTGTTACATGGCACAATGTCTCATTTAGGTCTGCCAACAACTTGTTTGCATCCAGAGTAATTGTTGGAAACCTATTATGCTACAAAGGTGCTACTTTTTCTCTTAAGATAAATTAGTTACAGTTCAGTAACAGACTTGCTACTGTTGTAATTTTTACATTGCAATCCCTTCATCACAGAGAATCGCCATTAGCTAAAAATTTTATCTTTCTTCCCTTAATCCGACCAACTGGAACAGGTTGCCCAGAGAGGTGGTAGATGCCCCATCCCTGGAAACATTCAAGGTCAGGTTGGACAGGGCTCTGAGGAACCTGATCTAGTTGAAGATGTCCCTGCCCACGGCAGGGGGGTTGGACTAGATGATCTTTAAAGGTCCCTTCCAATCCAAACTGTTCTATGATCCTAACTAAAACAGGTTTTAGCAAGTTAGAATTCCACTGACTCTCTCTCTTTCACTATTTTTTTGTGAATTTCAAAATCTGGTTGATTAGAGTTGATGCCAGAATTTTCATAGAAAACACAGTAAATTCAGTAATATTTTTAATAATATGCCTTTTTTACAATAGCATATATAAAGTATTGCCATATGTAGTGTGGAATTAACTTGATAATTTCTGCGTGTTTTGCATATCAGGTTCTTAAGATGATCTAAAGTTTGTCTAACTATGAGACAATCAACACATTTTTTTAATCTCTGAATTTGTTTTAGGAACTCATACAGCTCAGCAGTTGCGTATTACATTGTTTGCATCCCATTTTTGGGAATATTGGTAGTTCAGTAAGCAAGTTGCCTTTTCAGCATGGAAACACGATTAAAACAAAGGTTTTACCATTAGAGGCAATCTTTTTTTCTGTTTTTATACAGCATTATTGAAAATTTGTTTATTTTAAAAAATTTCATCATATTTGACTGGCATTTTAAATCATCTGACTACAGGAAAACTATAGATTTTTGCATAGTATTGGTTTTCTGCAGGGAAAATGCTTACACAACTGAATCTATAGTTTATCAGCTCTGAGTAAAATAACGTTATAAAATTTGAATGATTCGTTAAGCAGGATAAAAGGGAAAATTAAAGGCCACATATGGTGTATTTTAGCATGAAGCGCTTGCACTTCCTCAGTCAGTTCAGTGCTAGCCAGTTCCTGAGTCTAATTCTGTTTGCATTTGGCTTTGAGATGGTTGTACCTTTTGTATTAACTTAATGAGACATACCAGTCTTTATGTTTGAAACTATCACAACTTCAGTTTTTCTACTTAATAAAAACGATGGCTGAAAAAAAAAAAATGAAGTCAGTGATTGGGAGAAGACACCAATGGTTGAGAAAATAGAAATGTTTATTGCAGCACTCTCTATTGGGGGTGGATATTGTAAAATTGTCATTGAGAAATGGTTTGTCTGTATTGCTGCTTGCCTAACTTTGTCCTGATTCCTTATGGATTAATCACTGCCTGAGTGAGTCAGTGTTCTGGTTAGCTGATTCTTCTTTGGTTGTTTTTGTGCCTGTTCTTACAAGAGAGAACAGTAAAATTGCTTACCTGATAGTCTTCCAAACTACCTTCTGGGTTTTTTTTCCCCTCAAGTTACCCAATCTCAGTAGCATTTTCACAGTCATTGCAGTGTATGTCTAACAGGCTGACCAGGAAGCTCTTTGAGCAGCTTGATTCTAAAGGAGCAAGGAGGAAAACTGAGTCACCTGTGTAGTCTTGAGCCCCACAGTCAGTTACCTTAGACTGTAAATGAACAATAGATTCCTGAGAATATATGAAATGTTTTGTCCTGAGTAGTATTTTAGATTCCAATTGCTGTTAATTTTGTCTTTGTTAAATAAAATTTAATCAAATACATTATTTTTTACTCTCTAAAACGAAACCTGAAATTTATTGTGAATGTCTTCTGGATATACTAGTATAAAATACCATAGCTTCTATTGTATCTTGCCCTATTTTTCCCCTAGTGATTTGTTATTCCCACTCACTGTGTGGCCTCTGGAATTTTGATTGTAGAATCATTGGAGCAGAACTGCAGCCCAAGATTTGTATAGCATGGTCTGGAGAGATGCCTAATAAATAGATAGAATTCTGTTCTCGTGGGGTGTGTGCCTTACCTCTGATTTCTGCATTGTACTTCTCATAATTTACAAACTAAATTATATGATGAATTAATTTGAAGTAAGAATAAGGATTGCAGTTCTGTCTAGAATAGGGATTCTTAGTCTGTGTGACTAAATATTGGTAAACCTGGATTTTTTTTTTGGTGTAGATGTAATAAAAGATTTTTTTTTTTTTTAAAACATTTGAGCATGTTAAAACATTAACACTCAAATATTGATAATTTCTGTTAAATATATGAGCAAATAGATTTTTTATTTTTTAAGGTGTTTTTATGAATTACTGAGGGGTTTCTTTTTTTTTTTTTACCTTTTCAAAATTGTACTTGACACGTGGAAGATCATTTGGCTTTGAGGCTTTCTTGTTACTTTTACTTTTTAATAAGACTTTGGATTCCTTAATAAAAAAATGTTAGGCTAATGGTCCTGTTCCTGAACTGCTAAGCTCTTGATCCTGCACCCTGCCTTTATAAATACTGGCTTAACAATTAATGGACATGCACTTTTTTATGCTTGTGCTCATATCACATTGGTAGTCCTACTCATAAATTAATGGTTAAAAAAAGCAGTTATTTCTGAAAATTTTAGCATGTATTCCTTCTCAATTAAAGTGAACATATGAGAAGTCTTGGATAATTAATAGATAAAAGGCAGTGCTTGCCTTATAGCCTTCATTTGTAGTAGTCAGTTATATGGAGGTATATACTGAATGATATGTAGTCTTGCTGTGTGACAGCGTTTTCTATAATTAGTACTACTAAATATGAGGTGGACGTTTCTGTAAAATGTAGACACTGCCAAATATAGTATAGCCAAGCAGCGGTGTAACTTATACCTAAGTTTCATGTTAGTTTTTTTAATATCAGTTCAATAGAAAATAATTTTGCTTCCCCCCCAAAAAAAAGGTTACTATAAATACTCCAGAAATGCATAAAATCTCAGTTTAAATTTACCTTCTCTTTTCCTCTTTCCCATTTCAGGGTTATCTTTTCAGGGCTATTCCACAGATAGTGCTTGTACGCTCATGGTAATTCCTACCTCAGCCTCGCTCAGCCTTCCACCACCTTTAAAGACAGAACGAAATAACAGGTTTTAATATGCTAAACTGTGACTGAAAATCCCATTCAAATTCTTTCTTAAATTTCCTTTTCACATTATTTCTATCTACCACAACATAGGTAAGACCTGAATTCTCTATTTAATTGTTTTGAAACTTTGATGTAGAATGTCTAACAATTTTTTAGCACTTGTTGGTTCATTGCACATCTTCTTTATAAATGTTATTCTGTAGATTGAAAGAGATGCTGAGGAACGTAGTGGTGATAATTCAAAAAAAAAAGTAGCAAAAGGGTGATGGGTGTTGGTAATCAGTATGTAAGCAAATGTTCTTACATATATATGTGAAATACAGAGGAATAGGTGCATGGACTACAGAGAATTACAATTCTCTAATTGTAAGGCATTTTGTGCATTTCTGGTGTATTTACAGTAATTCTCTCTAACTACAAAAGGTAACTTAACTTACTGAGAGGTTTTGATAACTAAGAAAGCTACCAATCCTACAGATAGAAATGGGTACAACTGTTAATGGTGTTTATTTTTTTTAATGTTGCACTTACAAGCTACTAAATAATTTACTGACGATGTTCAGGAGAGCTTGCTGTCTGTTAGCGTTGTCATGCATTGTCATGTGTGCAATAGGAAATATTCACTCCATTACATTTTTTTAAATCTGTCTTATGTTTTTTAGGCCTAAGGACTGTCTCCGATCTATTATGAAGAGAGTGAACCATAAAGATCCCCATGTTGCTATGCAAGCATTAACAGTAGGTTCTTTTTAATGTAGTGCTTTTCCTTCCTGAATAGTTATATTGCAAAAAATCTTCTCTGAGTTTTAATCTTTCTTTCTTTAGCTTCTAGGAGCATGTGTATCAAACTGTGGTAAAATCTTTCATTTAGAAGTCTGTTCAAGAGATTTTGCCAGTGAAGTAAGCAATGTGTTGAATAAGGTAACGTATTACATTGATTTATACAATTCATAGGAAAGCGAAATCAGACAGAGAATTGGGGTAATCTGAAAGTGGAATGGAATCTACTTTTGGAAGACTGGAAATTTGGTGGCAGGGGAAGAATACAAGATAACTGGGAAGACTGTGGCGGTGAAAAAGAACTTCCTGAATGCCACTTCACAGTACAGTTACTTATGTATTCGGTTTGGGGGAGGTGGGGTGTGTGCGTTAACTTATAAATATACAAATTCATTTTCACATTAAATAACAGCAATGAAACACTAAATACAGATGTGGTGAAATGGAGATAATACAGGGCTTTCATATAACCTTGTTTTACTTTATTTTGGGCCTAGTACATATTGTACTAGTACAAACACAATGCTGGTGTACTATTCTCCATTTCTAATAAACATATCCCTTACTGATACACTTGACTTCAAAATAAAGTGTCTATGTAGTTGATATTGACAGTAACATGAAATTGTTTGAAATTAAGGAATTAAGAACAGTTTCCTACATTATTTAACTAGTTTCTACTGTTCTTGCAGGGTCATCCAAAAGTTTGTGAAAAGCTGAAAGCCCTTATGGTAGAATGGACTGATGAATTCAAGAATGACCCACAGCTTAGTTTAATATCTGCTATGATAAAAAATCTTAAGGAACAAGGAGTTACTTTCCCAGCTATTGGTTCACAGGTATATTAAATTTTGTGGTTGTTCTTAAAGGGTATCACAAATTCTTTTTATCCTCAGTTCTGTATTTTACAGTTTGTAGTCTTGAATTCTATAATGTGTTTGGCAAACAAAATGAAATCTCTCTTGTCTTAATAAAACATTCCTTTGAGGGGTGAAATGCTCCGATTTACTTTAGATTACTTTTATATTGCAGATGAATAGAAATCAAAATGGTGAACTTAATGCGTTGTCAGTTTTTCGTTGAATTCATTTTTACACCTTTCACTTTTGGCTAGGCTGCTGAACAGGCAAAAGCGAGTCCAGCTCTAGTTGCCAAAGATCCTGGTACAGTAGCCAACAAAAAGGAAGAGGAGGATTTAGCTAAAGGTGAGTGCATTTACTTGCTGACCTGATGAATATATTGGTAAATATCAAGTAAAGCAGGAACAAATGTTTTGCTTCCTTCCTGTATGTGAGTAGTGTATGTGTATTTATGGATTGTGGTTATGATTTCTATTCCTTTCTTTTTGTACCCTTACTGGAGGGTTAGAGATTAAAACTATTCTATGGGTAAAAAATATGGACAATTCCTGGTTTTTACTTTTTTTCCTTTGCCAAACTGAAACAACACAGTAAAAAATCTGCAACATCTCATGTTAAGGAGATGCTTCACTATAGAAATGTTTGATACAAGTTCTGCACTTGTATTTTCCCTCTTCCTGCGGCAAGTGAAGCACGTTCATTTGCAATTTAAACATTTGATGGAAGGAGAAGATAAGGATTATAGTATAAGTTGTATGCAAAGTATTTTGGGTATGTTACTTTAAACTTCTATTCCTTTGAATACTGCTTCTGTAGTATACTTTAAGGCTTTGATGGCTGTAAGCATAAGTGGCTGTTAAATATATCACTGCAGTCCCAGTAAACAAAACTAGGATGGTTTCTTTTGATTTACTGTTGTACTAAGGTATATTTAAAGGTCATTTAATGATCCTATACCAGACATATGTGAAGAGTTATTCTTAGAGTGGTTTGATCTTTATGGTGTAGATACTGTTTTTTGAGGTCAAACTTCAGCAATGTAAAGGCATCAAATGTTAGCCCTTGTACGTAGTATGGCTTTGGGCTTAAAGTTGTAACAATGGCTGTTTGCTATACGAGTGAAGTTCTTGCACTAGTAGTTGGTGGATGTTTGCAGTTTCTCATCTTTGATAGGAATTTTTTTTGTTTAGCTATTATCTAATATAACATTGATTTATTTAAGTTGCCGTTAGTGACTGAGCACTGGCACAGGTTGCCCAGGGAGGTTGTGGAGTCTCCATCCTCGGAGATACTCAAAAGCCATCTGGACATATCCTGAGCAGCCAGCTCTAGGTGACCCTGCTTGAGCAGGGGTTTTGGACAAGATGACCTCCAGAGGTGTCTTCCAACCTCAACCAAATTGTGCGATTCTCTGGTTCTGTGAATTCAAGCTAAAGACTCCTGATCTAACAGAGAAAGAATGTGTACCTGAACAGCTGTATGTTTTTAATGTTTCAAGCAATCTGGAAAAGTTTACCATCATGTATATGCTAGTAAGAATGTAAATACTTTACATCAGTTCAAGGTAATAACAGTAATATAATAATAAAAAATGGATGACTTCTCTGAGTTATCCTGTTTGTACTTAAGTGCTATTTATTCATCCTGTCCAGGTTGAAAGCCTCAGTAAATCTATGGGCAGAATTGTGCTCTCTAGTTGTGAAACATCTTTTTGCTTTTTACCATTATTTCTAAGTGAAAGGCAGAAGTTGATTAAGATGCAACAGGAATGGAATTATATTAAAAGTTTTCACAGAGTTAAATTTTCGTATCATTCAACCCATTTTTATAGGGAATTTTCATGTGAATAACTCTTCTTTTGTAGCTATTGAACTGTCACTAAAAGAACAAAGGCAACAACAAACAACACTTTCCGGTTTGTATCCGAGCACCTCAAACCTTTTAACAAATCACAAACATGAGGGCCGAAAGGTTCGTGCAATCTATGATTTTGAGGCTGCTGAAGACAACGAATTAACTTTTAAAGCTGGAGAACTTATAACTATCCTCGATGACAGGTAATTTGTATAGAATGCCTACTAGAAGTATATTAGACTGTAAAAATCAATCGCGAATAATCATATCTTCTATGTAGAAGCATACATTGGAATACAATTGCAATAAAATATAGTTACATATTAAATACTTTATTTAGTTATCTCCTAGATTTTTTACATACAAATGTAATTGCATAAAGATTGTTGTATAAAGATTTCTGCATATATACAAATTGTATTTATGTACAAGTAATATAAATGCCTTGTACAGTGCAATTCTTAGGAAAATTCCATGTGAATATGGTTTTTTTTTAATGTATGGGGTTTACAAATTTTTTTTTTTATCTTCAGTGATCCAAATTGGTGGAAAGGTGAAACTCATCAGGGAATCGGATTGTTTCCATCTAATTTTGTGACAGCTGATCTTTCTGCTGAGCCAGAAATGAGTAAGTAACATTATATTTATGTATATATGTTAAGCCTTGCCATGGCCCAAGGGATATTTCTGTAGTGATTTCCTTTCCCTTATGATGGAGTTCAGCTGCAAGTTAATGTGATACTCAAAGTAAAACTGAGGAGCTCTTGCTGTGCTCTCACAAACAACAGTCATATCTTTATGTGTTAGACCAAGGTTGCCCAAGCTGGCATCTTCTGAAAAATATGATGCTGTCTACTGCTGGCTTTGCCAGTAGCTTCCTTGAGACTCATTTAACAACTCCATTGACACCTATATAAATGTAGGCAACAGCAGTTTTTTACCAAATTGCCTTTTTGCCTGGTTGAAATGGTACATATCTAATCAAGGAAAAACTAAAGGCCCCTGGGCAGATAGGAGGTGGAGACAGATTACCACTGTTCAGACAATTCAAGAAACCTACATACTGTAGGTATGTATGTGTGCATAATGGAAGGAGTATTTTCCCTGCATACTGTTTATCTTCTTGTATCTATTTATATCAGTTTAACCTACTCTAAATATTTAATAAAAATATTAAATATTAGACAAGGTTTTAAGATTCTAGAACGGATTTCTGTAAATCTGATGGGTTTGCAAGATTAATCTCCTGTGATCTCTATATGAGTGTGCCAAAGGTATGAATATGAACAGGTCAGCAGAATTACATGCTGTAGGAGTCACCTGTTCTATGTTAAGACTAACTGATAAGAGTAGTATGATAAGAGGAGTATTTGGCAGCTTTTTTGTTGTGGCCTCCACTACAGAGGAGTGAGATGCTTTTGCGGATACTATTTGATGGAGAAGGAATAGCAAAATTTGAGAACTTTCGATTCTATACTTTGCTCTGAAGAAAAGAAGGCTCCAGTTTGTCATAGGTGATTTTACCAGTTTTCCCTTAAACCTGACTCATTAGCCCTATTTCTTCCAATCACTATCTCTTAGTCTGTTTTCCTGATGACTTATTAATAAGTATGTTATGTGCAGGGAGACTAAGATAAAGACAATTACTTGCTAGAACATGTTTCTATTGACCTTGTGTGAACTGATGTCTTTTTTAATGCAATTTACAGATTTGTTTAAGAAAATTGTTTAAGTCTATGGAGATATTTTTGGCCTTCGAATGTCAACAAAATTTTAATTTTTTATATTTTCACAGTAGATGTTTCAAATGCAAAGAACTTAGGCAACATGCTAGCTGTATAACATTTATGTCATTGTTTTGTTTATTTTTATTTTATAAAATAAAGTCTGCCTGTTTATCTTACAGTGAAAGCTGAGAAAAAAACAGTGCAGTTCAGTGATGAAGTTCAAGTAGAGACAATAGAACCTGAGCCTGAACCAGTTTATATTGATGAAGTAAGCGTGATAAAAGTACTGATTTTTCAACTGCTGGTACATTTAAATGTGTGATGTTTAACCCTTTCATACTGTACTTAAAAACAATTTGAGATATCAGGAGAACATAATCAAAAGAGAATGGGAAGCGAAAGTTGAAATAATTAAAAAAAAAAAGAAAAATCTGCAGTATTCTAATTTGTTCATGTGTCTTGAAGTTCTTAGGAATTTCTGAAACTGAATTTGGAAACTGCATTCCATTTAGGGCCCTACTCCAGGATTGTACAGCTGTTCACCTCCAAACTAGAAGCTTGGTGTGGAGTGACGCATTTGCTTTCAAGTTTTGCTTTAAGTACTTCAGGATACCTCAGAGATACCCATCTTGAATGCTGTCTTAGATTTATTTCCAGTATAACCACCACTGTCTTCCCCCAGTGTGAAAGATTTCTTTCCTTCTCTGAAAACTGTGAGCTTTTTGTTGCTCTGTAAGTAATATTTAGTAAGATTCGTATAACCTCACCGCAGTGATTCTGCAAGGTTCCCAGGAACTCTCAGCCCAGGATGTTTTTCCCCTGCCTTTTTTTTTTTTCTTTTTCTTTTTTTTCCTCTCCCTCCCAGGGGGCTTAGAATTGTTCTCTTTAGAATTTTTCCCTTTCTCTCTCATGACCTTCCATTTCTTTCTCAACTAGGGTTCTGTCATTGTTTTTTGAAATGAAAAACCAGTTACTGCCTTCCTAAAGTCCTATTTAACTCCTGCCTCAAATACTCTTCCTCCCAAGAGATATTCATTTGTAATCTGCTGAAATAGCTTATCTCAGGCCTGCCTTCAGGTGCCTTCCAGCTTTTGTCTTCTGTGATTCCATGTTGCTTTATGTTTTAGTGTCTTGTTTTGTTTTTAAAATTACCATAGTATAATTTTTAAGGAAGTAGTTCATTTGGCTTCTTCCTGCCTTTCCTGTGGTTAAGGAGGAAAAAACATGGTTTTAGTTTCTGCTTTGATACAGCCTATATAACTCTGGCCTTGTTAAAGGCTATTTATTTGATAGCACTCAGCTAAAAAGTGATTTTTAGTCATTTACATGTAATGTTTGGTTAAGCAATATAGTTCACTCAAAGACATACTTTTCAAAGAGTTTATGCCTGTTAATTTTCTACCCTTTGGTATTTTTGTAAATGGGTTGCACTTAAACTGGTTAATCAAGGATGACTTATTCTGAAGTCAACCATGCAACCGCTCCAAACAATCCTAAAAAAACCCTTTCATATATATAAGTAATGGCATTGCTTATGTGCTGATAGGCCTCATACACTTACAAAATGCAGGGTAGTTTTTCAGTGAATTTAGTTTTAAGCACCCATTTCTTTTCAAAGTACTCTCTCAATGTATTCTGTCAAAACATTTCCGCTAATCCCACTAGGTGGTAGTATTGCATATGTAATAACTAGAATGGAAAAATAGAAACTGCTCAAAAAATACTGTTTAGAAGGACTTTTAGGAATAAAGGGGTATTCTGCATGTTCCACTTGTTATTACTAATAATTTTTATCATTTGGCTTTTCTTTGTTCAAGCATCATCATTCCTGTAAAGTAGCACGTATGATTTGTATTTTCTTAAAGTTAGTCTAGGTGATTTCCAAGTCCCAAGAGATCCAAAAGGCTGTTGTAAATAGCTGCTTTGATTTACTATCCTGAAAGTGTGAAGTCTTCCCCCCTACATATGCCCTAATTACACAATTTGTGTTCTAGGATAAAATGGACCAACTCTTGCAGATGTTACAAAGTGCGGATCCATCTGATGACCAGCCAGACCTCCCAGAATTGCTTCATCTTGAGGGTAGGAAAATCTCATGAGGTTTTTTGTTGTTTTCATCTCTAGTAATTCCCTATATAAAAATAAATTGCAACTAAGCTGAAACTACTTCAGCTTCGTGTGCACACCACAAGCATGCCTGAGGAAAGTGCCTGAGCCGTAATTGTCTTCTCACTTCCTGTTTCCCACATCTAAGAGACCAAAGTGCAAAATTTTAACTTAAAACAAGCCCACTCCTCTCTCAAGGAAACTATATTCCATATTCTTTTCCTTTTCAAGACCCAGGAATACTTAATTCAATCTTACTCATCCTTTTTTTTTTCCTTCATAGAGTAGCACAGCATGAGTTGCAAAAAGAGAGTAAGGAAGATTCCACAGGAGGAAGCAGAAATACTACTGGGGCTTAGAATAGACCTGTGGGTGTCCCACATGCTTTTCACTTGCATGGACTTTAATATTAACGAATACCTTATACAGTGCTACAAATTAGACTAGTCCTTCAGACAAATTATTCAGACTATCTCTTCGAAGCGGCATTATAGATCATTCTACCTGGGTTGATAGATGCAGCAAAATTTTTGGAAGGGAACTTTGGAGAAGGAAGTAAAGAAACTTACCCATTATGAGACAGAACATCGGCTTAAACTGGCGATTCAGATAGGACCATACTTTAAGAAAATGGCATATTCCAGATCTGTCTAGAAGTTAATCAGGAAAAAGTGCATAAGCTTGTAAGCTTTTGGATATCTCTGATCTTTTCACACCCATCTAGTTCATCATACCTGTTAAATGAATCCTGTTTTAGGAACTGTACATCAGTGACGTGTCTGCACGTATTCTAGTTCCACTAAAGCTAAAGAGGGGTAAAAAGAAACATAATGGTTTTATTCTTTCAAGTATCAAATATAGTTATAGATGCTGTTGTCTAAGAAGCAGATTGCCTATATCTGGTCCAGGACAGAGGCAAAGAAATTAAAGGTATGCTTGTCAACCAACCTCCAGATACGGCTTACATTAGGATCTCCTTTCAAAATGCATTGTGAGATCATTAGAACAATGCTAAATTTTATATTAAACCATGGAACTGCTCCTAGAATCTGAAAGCTGTAGTGTAGTCAGATGATCACTCCCCAGCTATCTGCAAGAGCGTTTGCCAAACATATGGCTGCGTATAGTTCTACAATGCCATATTCAAGACTGTACTTGCTCTACACTCAGGTAGACCTTGGGTAGCTACTATTTTTGGCATAGGTTCTGGGAATTTTGTTATAGATGTGTGTTGGATCTTGGGTTCCTACCAGTGGTGGCAGGTGCTGATCAACGTTTGACAAAAAAACACTTTGTTTTCTTCTGCCATCCAGATGTCCAGTCACAAATGTCTTTAAATTGGAGAGCCCATCACACAACACTTTCAGGAGCCCAGGGTTTGTGGTTGGCAGCAGTGTAGGCATCATGTCAGTGTACAGACATCCAAGCAATCCTTTTACCACGCTTTGTGTTATACGTAAAAATAGGCTGAACTTACACCAGGTTTTACATCTTTTCCTGGTATTTCTGCCAGTGTGTTATGGATCCCAGGTTCAAAGGAGCAAATGGGTGCCTTTCATACAACTCCTCTACAACCTGCAGTTGCCTTCAAGGAACACATCAGTGATGCCCTTTAATCCATCATGGCCCAGAGGCTTTCAGGACCTTCTGCATCTCTAATTTGGGAAAAATGGGAGCGAAGACAGTGTTCCAGAGCTGCTTATAGTGCATTTAGGTTATCTTTGATTCCTGAATCTTTTTTTCTCATCTCTGAGTTTGAATGTTGTGTGGCTCTTGGGATTAAACACGTCTCTTGATTGGTAAATAGTTCATTGCTTGGATAAGTGGGCACATTTTGCATTCTGGAGTAGGGTTAGACTGTAGTATCCCCTTTTAGCTTCCTTGTCTGTTTATTTTACATTTGACAAACTCTGTCTTTCTGTTAGTTAACTATGGTTTGCTTGGCAGTTATATGAACTCCATGCCCTTGTGCTGCAAGTTGGCGGGGGGTGCATTTGTGTTTATTTTAACGCTTTTCCATTCTACTTCTGATAAATTTTTGTGTTGGTTTTTGCACGTTAGTGGTTTGAAAAAGCCCCCTTTCCCCAGTTAGGATTCTAGTGAGATAGCAATGTGCTGTTAGTGTATTTGACATGCAGATGATTTGAATCATTGCAACCTGTTTTCCCCTTCATTGTTTACATAGATAGTCTTTTTGCAGTAATGTTAGTTGAGCACATGATCTAGGTTACAGTGGCAAATTTTCTTCCTTGAAGAAGAGACCACCTTTCAGATTTACCTGAACTTTTTTATGCAAAATAGTTTCAGGTTTACACTTCCTGGATGTTAAATGTGTTTTGTTTCGCTGTATTTTTATTTTCTTTTTAAAATGTACTTTTAAAACTATAGCACTACTAAAAACCTCAGCTGGATCTCATTCTTAAATTGTTCACGACACTACCTCTGTTACTATAACTTTTTTGGCATACAGATTATAGTAATGGTTTAAAAAAAAATTGGATCTACACATTTCTATCTGAAAATTTTTTTTAAAGCTGCTTTCTGATTTGCAGTGTGGAAATCTTTATTACTCTGATATATTTTAATGTCTTTCTGTTCTAGCAATGTGCCACCAGATGGGACCTCTCATAGATGAAAAGTTGGAAGATATAGACAGGTAAAAAAAGTCAAATGTTTGGACTCAAATTAAGATTCATTCTTAGAAATACCAGTGTTGTTACTTAATGATATCTTAATAATTTCTGTGAATACTGACAAAGAAAATAGGTGTATTTATTAGTAGCTTCTCATCTGGGAGGAGGTCTGAAGGGTTTTTTCCCCGGTCACATAATATTTTACAGTATTGTACCGTTTGACATTCTGGCACTTGTCAGGCATCACTTCACAGGCAGTAAGAATATGTTGCTTATATTTTCTAGGAAACATTCAGAACTTTCAGAGCTCAATGTTAAAGCAATGGAGGCTCTTTCCTTGTATAACAAATTGATGAATGAAGATCCAATGTATTCCATGTATGCAAAACTACAAAACCAACAGTATTATATGCAGTCATCCGGTGTTTCTGGCTCTCAGGTATGTATGTAACCTTTAATAGCCATTGATGTTATCAAGTACGTACCAAGCTATGGTTGATTTCTTATAAATTATTAGTGATAAGCAGTTTTTCACATGAGCTAACTTTTTTACAAAACTTGCTCAAATTTTTTTTACAGTGTATTTCTCTACATTACTAAAATAAATATATACTGATATATAAAGTGTAGTGGCACATGTTGATTGCAAGTAATAATTTATTTCCTATTTCTGCCCTTCTGTTCCCACCCCCCTCGCCCCTGAGTTGGAAACCTCTTTTTATGATCTTTGTTACCTTAATGCTAGGTTAAAATCATCTTGCTCCCTCAGAGATAATCTTGAATGAGAGAGTAGTGTTTTCTTTCAACACAGTATATAAAAAAAAAAAAGTCAGTTTTCAGCTGCAAGCTTTGGATATTCTCCGTTTGCAGGTTCTAACACTTTTAGTTCTTTTCTGTTCAGTTCTTTTTGATCAAAGAAAAAGCCCATCCTGTGCTTTGAGTTGCATATAAAATTAAAAATTAAAGCTGCCAGGGCTTTGCATAGTGGGTCAAAGAAAGTAAAGAACCAAAGGAGTACAATTCCTGTTTAAGATTATGCCCTCCCCACTCTAAAATCAATCTCTTCTTTTAGTTTCCTTTTTTTTGAAAAATCAGTACAGAGCATTTAGCATTTAAATTACTGAGGTTAAAAATTATAATTATTTCATGGCAGCATTTCCATGTAATTGACTTACCTCTGAGGAGGTCTTTTGGCTTATTCATATACTATGGTATTTTTGAAAGGTCTTTTAAACATTTAAATGTTTGATTCCATAGTCTAATGCACACTTGCTGTATTCTTTTCCTGTTTATAGCAATATGTAACATTTCAAACTGTTTTTTCAATAATTTACTTGCTTTTTGAGTGAGTAAAAAAAATTCAAGCCAACTTATTAATACCTACACAGTATTATATAAAACATTGAAGCAGATTTAGTTCTTTTAGCATCCTACAAATACGTACTTTTTTCCAGTATCCTTTAAAGAAAAGGTTGTATGTTTTTGCAGTGTCATTAAGAGGAACATTGTCTTCCGTTCATATGTGATAAGCAATCATATTATGACTCTAGCAAATAATTTTAATGTTTTATAAATGGGCATGTTTCTGGGGCTTTTTAAAGGGAAAAACTGGATTTTGGGGTGAAGATGAGCCAGTATAAAGTTCTGAAAAGTTAGGAGGTCTCATGCCTTTGCTGCCTTCTAAAATTCTTTTGTGATGTTGATATGCCTTCTATGAATATGTCATCTGAGATTCATGGATCTTAAGATAGAAGAGCTGTATATCATAAACTAACATGAACTCAGTTGTGCATAAGACCTGATAATTTCTTCTAGTAATTTGTGTTAAGCCAAATAATTCATGATTGAACAAAAGCATAGGGTTTAGAAATTTAGTCTTGATTTAGAATACAGTTGACACATCTACTAGCAAGCTTTTCCTCTAGTTAGTTGTAAAACATTACCTTATTTTCAACTGAAATTTTCTTAAGACCTCTTTTTCCTTTCTGCCTTGCTCAAACAATTTTACAATGGCAGTTTCAACAGTTACATTAAATGATAGGTTAACTAACGACATGAAAATAATACATTATTGGCTTTCCATTTTAACGATTCTACTTAGTGAAAGTTATCTGGGCATCAAAAAGTGTTCTGCTTCGGACTGCTCTTTGTTCCATGATTTAAATCCTTCGGTATTTTTATTCAAAAGTAGAAGCTCTTAATTAGCATGAGTGATAATCATTAAAATAAAATTTGGAATACAAGTTTTCCAGTAAACTATTTGACGTTTTTAGTACTGATGCCTGAGCTTAGAAATGTAAACAGCGTTCTTTGAAAATCTGGTAATTTTTTCATACTGCAACACTTAGTAGAAGACAATCAGTTGCTTTCTATTAAAACATCTGTAATAAAAGGTTTGAGAGGCTGTCTTTACGTTCTAAATACCAAATTTTCTTGCATTTTGTTTTTAATATTCCTTTATTTAACTTCCTAGGTTTATCCAGGGCAACCTCAAAGTAATGCATATTTGGTGGCAGGGAGTGCACAGATGGGCCATATTCAAGGCTATAATCTTCCTCCTGAACAACTCTCCTCTCTCAGCCAAGGCACAGTTACTCCATCTGCCAGCTCAGTACTGCCTGGTCAGCCTGCACAGACGTCTTACACAAAGTAATTTTAAATATTTTCCTATTCAAGTTTAAATCAATTTAAACATAAAGAACTGCAGATAATATTTAAAGGAGATTTTTTTTCTTACAGAAGTATAATTTTAAACACAACTGAAAGATACTTCAGGGCAATTATTTCCAGTGTGCTTTTTATTGGTGTTGTGTATTTGGTAAAAATTCCTGACAAACTTCAAACTTTTATGTTGTTTTTATAATTTTCTCTAGTTTTTCATTTTATATAGAAGAAATATATCATTTATATACATATATTTCTTTTATAGAAAAGAAAAATTAGAGAAATTGATATAGACATGACTGATTTTTTTTTTTTTTTTTTTTTAAGTTAACTTTTAATATACATTTAATGATGAAGATAATCTGCTGCTCTGGCTGGCTTTGCATAATTTCTGAGATAGTGTGTACTGTATTGTTCTTTTTCAAATATCATACTGTGAAAGCACGGGGAGAATTCTCCTCATCTTGGGAAAGAAGTGAATGGGCTATGAATACTTACTAAAGCTTATACAGCTTCCCCATATAAAGGAGCTACAAGTGGCTTTCTGTTTTGGGTAGATGCCCAAAGATGCTAAGCTTTGGCTAAGCTACCTATATTGTGAAAAAGTTTTGAATTGACCTTAGGAAAAGATTAGTTTGGGGTTTTTTTACGCTCTGTATAAAGTAATTTTATTTTATAAACTTGGGAAAGACATCCATCTTGAGTTATTAAAGTATTTGTTAGTCTCTGTCCCCCAAAGTTACGTATTTGGGGTGGTAAGACATATATTGATAAAGTGAGTTTCTGCATACTTCACCTGACTTGTTGTGCTGTTTAAAACAGTTGGTTGGGTTTTGGTTTTTTCATGAGCAGAATAGAAGATAGATGGGATTCCATATTGAACATTAAAATAGAATAAAGTATAGATTCACAATCTAGTTTTGAATCCATGGGAGGTGTGTTAGGTGTGTTTAAATCTGAGGAGTGTGTTTGAGTATTAGTTGGAATATTCATCGGCTACAGTTTTAAGTATGCAAGGTGTCCAGAGTTAAGAGATTTTTTTGTGTATCTATAGAACAGCTGAAGAAGCAATAAAGCGTTGCTGTTCCATTGGTAAATTGTTTGTTAATTCAACTTTAATTTTTTTTTTTTTTCCAGTGCAATGGTTGGCTCTGTTGCTGGAAATACTTACTCTAACCAGGCTTCAGTGTATAGTCCACCACCTGCTACTGTTGATGTTGCTGCTTATCAGAATGCTGGAACTAATATGTCCCAGGTGCCAAACTATAACTTAGCATCTACACCTCTGCCACAGACAGCAGGCAGTCAACAAGCACCTCCACAACAACCACAGCCTCCGCCACCTCAACAACCACAGCATAGTTACTCACAGAAGGCTCTGCTATAGGATCCAGGACTTTTGATTCCTAATCTTCTTTAACCTCTGCTAAAGGCAGTTGGCAATTCTATGAGTTTCTTCCTTTAATCTCTTAAACTTTGTTTATCCTCAGCTTAATAAGAATCTATCTTGGTGAACAAGTTCAATTTGCACTGACTTTTTAGGATTTTTTTTTTTTTTTAATTTTGCAGAGGAACAGATATATTTAGGACATTTAATTCCTTTTAAAATGCCTAAAAATTGGTACAAGATTATTTATGTCTGGTAAAATTGGCTAGTCTGTGAAAACTCAACATTTGCAAACTGTTGTGGCATATATGTTATGTACATATAGTGTGTGATAGCAATAGTGGCCATTTCGTATAGCTATGGTGATCATGTGAATATATTTAACACAATGTTTAAAAATAATTTACTTTACTATTTTATTTTAATCATGAACTGACAACCATGTTTCATAGTTTTGTCTAGTTTTATGACAGATGTGATGTCTTTTTCCAATGCAGGAAGAGCAGTAATTCTGCATATCATGGTTACACTTACAAGCTAAGGTCTATATATGAATTTACAAACTTATCTGAATCTAGGTTTCATTGCTTCTTGAATTGAACACAAGTGTGTCATGACTCTTAGATGGCTTATCTACCAAAGTAAACTAGTTAACTAGTAAGTGATTTGGGGGGATAACAGCAAATTATGATTCTGCTTCAGATATAATTAATAACTTCAAACTACTATTCAGAGGCTGCTAAACATATCATGGGACCATGCAACAGGATCTTGCATTTTATCATGAGAAGCATGTAATTTATTTTTTCCAAGTTGTTTTTTACAATGAGAACCAGAACTGTATTCTATGTGTGTTGGTAGAGATTACACCAAAGACAGAGGAATTGAGTTGGAGGAGAAACGATGGAGTTTTAAACTGGAACACACAGCATGAATAACACTACTTTATTCAAGTCTTCTTAATTAGAACATGGAGAATTATGGACATTTAAATCACTTTGCTGAACAAACCTTCAGGGCTTTATTTTATCTCTTGTGGCCTTGCTTAGCAATTTGTTCTGTTTACTGTTCTTACACAAACACTTCTGCCTTAAACATCTGTTTCAATTTCCAGTTGTACCATTTGATTTTATTAGCCCTTCTATAGTATGAATAGTTTATGAGGCATCTTGTTTTCATTCACTTTCAGGTTACTTTGAATTCTCTTCTGCAGCAGCAGCATGCATTAGCCTTTTTTAAATCCTTGCATTTCTTAGTAACTTAGCCAGGTGGCTCTTTAAGGCATGATATTTTCTTTCTACAGCTGAGGTGCTGCAAAAGGAACATGGTAATGGAAGGCAGCATTTTAGATATGCCTGATCAGAGTTTCTTGTACAAAGACACTTGTTACTTTGCATTTGTATTCAATCTATTTATGCATCCTGGTTTCCTCTTATCTTTTCCAGCGATTCTAATTCCAATTAGAGCAATACTAGATGGCTTCAACATCAGATCTGTGTTTTCAGTCTTGTTAGTGTGTATGTCAGAAATTATTCGCTTTTGTGTACTATATTTTCGTGTGATCCTTCTGGAATTAAATGTTGCAATTGTACATTATACTATAAGCTGACCTCAGTTATCCCATACACTCCTGCGTCTGTTCACAGTTACCTAACATGCCTTTGTTTCACTATTTTAATAGACACTGGTATTTTGCCTGTTATGCTTTCGTATGACTACTGTGCGTAACTTCTAACTGGGGTAGTTACAAAACGTGCCCATAGCTGATGTGTTCCAGTTGGGGATGTTCTAGCCAGCTGGCTGTTTTGACACTAGTATTTTCACTTACTGTTTTTCTCCAGAATTCTTAAGCACCCTCTCAAACTGTCATTACTTCAGTACTTGGCGTCATCACAAAAGTCTGTGGAATTTGGAAAGAAATACTAAAAAAAAAATTAAATCCAAGATATTGTGTCATTTTTAATAGATTGAAGAGGTGATTTTCTTTAGAAAGGGCATGTAGTATCATTTAGATAGTGTTCTCTGTATGCTTTAGGTACCTTATTCCAAAATCGGAGAAATAATGTGTATACAAGTGTATAATTTCTACACAAAAGTGAAAATAACTTTTTACTCTATAGTTCTTAGGCCCTGATTCAAGGAGAAGCTTGAAGCATCAAAACGGTCCAGCTGACATGGACTATTTGTATTCTTAGGTTTTCACATGTTGAGTCACATGTTCCCTAATAAGGGCCTATGGAACCTCTGTACAGAAATGACTCAGCAAAAATACTTTTTGTTACTAATTTGTCTTTGTTTTTAAAATTTTGAAGTCTTCTTTCCTTAACATACAGAAATGCTTGTTCCTGGTTTCTCCTTTGAACACGGAAAACTTAGGCGCATCTTAAGTTTTTCTGCTTTCCAACTTAATTATTTTGGGCATTTATCCATATTTAAGAAAATTGAAATCACCTTTCATTTGTGTTCATCATGACCAAAAACACTTTCTAAAATGCAATGCCACTATAAATTCAGTATAATAAAAGTTGTGAAAAAAAGATGGACATGTTTTATTTTCCTTCATGCCTTTATTAGAGTCACTGCTCTAAGGTATCTCCTGTAACAAATTGTGAATTTTACTTGACTTAGAATCAGTTTTCATTGTCCACAATTGGTGCAGCAGAGCACTAGATTTTTAGATTCAGAATCTTAGCATTTCTGTTGTATCTACATTTTCTATTTCAGATGCAATTTTCAGATTAAATTGAATTTGGAGCTGTATTGCTTCGTGTTGATTTTTCTGATTTATCAGAAAAGATTATTTCATCTTCTTGCTTGGTTGTGTCCCATATGCTAGATAATCTGAAGTGATGCCTCCTCCTACCTTGCTAGATGCTGTCATTGCACTAATTCCTTCACTCATCCTCTCGTATCCTCTCTAACTGATAATTTAGCAATTATATTTCGATTCACCCCCTCTCTGCTGGTTCAGTATCATGAACCTGGAGATGCCATTGCTGGGGCTTCTTTGCTGTAATTTGTTCTGAGATTCCTTGTTTATGCATTGTTTTGACCAAGTTCACATATGTTCTGTCTTACTATGGTATTGAACACTGAAATATAGGTGAGAAGGGGAAAGTACATGTACAGCTACTGTACTGAAAAGCTTTTTAGAAAATAAATAAAGTGTCAGAAAGTTAATTTATTTGAAAGTTAAGAATCCCTGGAAATGCTATGTTATTCATGTTCCAATAGAAGATTGGAATATCTTGTTTCTCTACATGTAAATTGTCAATGAAAGGCTAGAATATTTTCATAATATTTTGTATAACCCTTTGTTATTTAACCCTTTCATTAAGGAATACAAAAAATTAACTTCAGAAGGGGTATTTTAGTAGCTTGGTTATTATGAACTGGAGCAAACTCTGGAAAGTGCCTTCTGTGCATTTCACTTCTATAAACAAAGCTTGTTTACCCATGTGTATCATCTCAATTTACGTGGTCATAACAAAGATGTCAAGATTTACCATAAACCATCCCAGGAAAAATACTGAGGCAGCATGTTAAAATTTGCTACACTGATGTCATGGCAGTATGTTCCAGAGTGCGCAGTTGCAGGAACAGTTGCAACATATTTACCAACCTCTATTTAGTAACTGGTACCCAGGTACGTGTGTATTTAATGTCACTGGCCGAAGTACATATAGACAGCAGTAAAACAACAGTAAAAAGGAACAAAATGTAAGAATCACTGCATGCTTCTCAACAGGTGTGGAGCAACATATTGCCCTCATGGTACAGTTACTGTTCATGAATTTGGCGGCGGGGAGGACAACTGAAATTAATTTGAGTAACCAGAACTTCAGAGAATTCTGCCAGATTGCAAATGCTTAGATGTAACAAAGGAGATAAATCTGCTTTTAATAGCGTGTACATATTTTGCTGATCAAATCTAGGCTGCTATTATAGTTCTCTGATTTCATCTAGATGGCAGGAACATCAGATTTACACTGGAGAACTGCTTAATACCTCATTCTCCAAATTTTTTAGTGTTTTCTTTAATATCACTTACCTTATTTTTCATTCATATTTCAAAGATATCTGTGCAGTCTTTACATATAAAGGTCTTACCTTATTCCTTGTCTGCTGGGTTTCACAGAAAGAATGAAAAATAACATCTTTAATTACAGCAGCTACAATGGCACTTTGAATTACATAACTGCAACTTCCTTTGGAGAAGGTGCATGTATCCGTTTTGAAGAACAAGGGAGCATAATTTTTCCAGTTAAAACTTAGGAGAAGATTTTTTTTAAAGAAAAAGATAAAGCAAAAGTTACAAAAACCTCCATTGCTACAAAAACCTCCGTTGCTAACAGCAGGCAGAATCATTTTTTACTCTGTTATTCAATCTTGGTAAAGCTGACCAACTCCACACTACAGATACTCCTTTTTCATTTTCAGCTGCAATGAAGAATATCAACCTTCATGTGTATACTATCCAACACCATAGTGAAACATGGGAAGGCCTTGACATGTGAACGTTTTGCTTCAATATGTAAAAAACACTGTGTACGTTTCTGAAGCCTTGTTTCTTAAATTAGGGTGTTTGTGTTTAAAAACATTCCATTTGCTACTATGTAAAATTGCAGATCTAAAGTTCACTTTTCATGCTGCTACCTTGGCAAAAAGGTGGTAGGAGGTTTTGTTCTTCTATCCTGCATGTGCTTCTGGAAATCCAAATAATTTTTGTCTTTGTCATGAAAAAGAAAAGAAGCCTGCTGCGGTCTGCTTTGGTTTTAATAAAGTGTACACAGTAGCAAAGTGCATTTTTGATTTTGTTTGTTTTGATGCTCCCTTTGATGTTGGCATATGTATATATTTAGATATACTGCACTGTTGTACAAGAATTGTTTTAGTAAATAACACTATTTGTAAAAACTGTTAATTGTTTTTGGTATGAATGCAAAATATTAAAGTTGGAGTATTTAGTTCATTACGTTGCAAAGTCAATTTATGAATTTCATGGAAGAAAAGGACTTCCTTTGCTGGAAGGACTTGGAGATGCAGTAGGCAAGGTCTGTTAGAAGTACTTAGCTCAAATTTTCTGATTTCAGGTGGGGTGGAAGGGGGTTTTGGTTATTCTGGGGGTTTTTTTTGGTGGTGTTTTTTTTTTTTTTTGTATGATGCTTACACATAGATTATATTATTTTTACCTTTAAAGTTTTTCATCTGTCATTAACTTCCTTCAGCTAAAATTCAAGTAATACATTTTACATCTTATTTCAAGTATGCTGCATGT